TTCGGTGCCGAGTCTGGTAGTTGGGTAGGCCTGATTATTATATTATTAAATATAATTACAGTGTAAGAACGGTGCATTTCAGTCGCTGATAAATTCGGCATCAGTGCTAGAAAAGGTCTTTGATGGCCATTTCCTGACACTGAATACCTATGTTGATATAATTAAACAGTTGTCAGGTTTTATTATCTACCGGTGTGAGAGATACAGACGATCAAATTTCATCATTTTAACATTGAGAGTAATGGAGCTTACTGATTGTTTTGCCCTAGTCCGGGCGTGGCGGCTATCTTGTGACGTCATGCCGACTGGGAAATATGATCACACTAATACACCTATTACATGAGGTATACAGTAATCAGTGACAAAAGCCAAGACAGAGGTGACATTCTGAGAGCCTCTTATCTGAGCTAAAAATTACAATTACTGAATTGGCATTTAATGGTATTTTACAGCAAATTACCTGTCAAAATGGTCTTGACTTGCACTTTGGTTGCTATTCAGTGGCTTATGGGTAATTAATTGTTCATTATAAATTATGTTACTTTTAATTTTATGTTGGCTCCTAAGAGCTAAAGAAAACAAAACAAAAATAAATAAATAAATAAAACAAAAATAAATACATTACACCTAGTTCCTTTCAAGTTGATTTAGATAAAGTAAGTTTATAATCTAATAATATGAAAAATAAATAATGTGCTCTTGGTAAAGCAACAATATTAAACACAGAATGATGCAAAAAGTGAGTACTAGTAATCATGTTCTGACTAAGATTTTTGTGAGATCAATGTACAAGTAGAAGGAGCTCTGTCATTTTGGGCAATGCCAGAATATCAGTTTCTGGGTTTCTCACCTTGCTGCAAGGGCACTGACATTTCCATTTCACTAGACATTTCCACACTATTTCACTTTTAAAATCTTAATAGCATAGAAAGAAAAATGTACAATAAAATGTGATGCATTCATCGGACAAGTATAACATTTCAATGGTGAAAGTAAGCTTTTCACTGATAAGATCTTCTCAAAAAGATGAAAAGAGAATTCAGGTGAGCCGATCACAAAGCTGACAGGTAATTACGACTAGCTTAAGTTTTTAATATACAGTACTCAGTTGGAAAAGCGCTTCTGACAGGTAGATAAGATACAACATGACCAGTTTCTCAAGCAATTGATTGCCAGCCTTAGGCAATTGATGGCCAGTCTCTTTTGCTTGTGATTGTTTTAGCTCGGATTAGAGGCTGTTAGAACATCACCCTTTTCTTGGCATTTGTCACTGATTAGTGCCTACCCCGTTGTAATAGGTGAATGAGTGTGATTATATGTGTGGAATTCCATGGCAGATGGACAAATAAACATATAAAAATTGTCACAATGGTACATCTTTGAACAGCAGTCGTGGATCGGTACGGTTCAGTTGTCAGTTGCGAACTACTTCCTGTTTTCACAAAGTCCTTCAAAGACTCTTAAACATCGTTATAATTGCAGCACATACTTAAAATACTTACACCCCAAAATACTTAGATATGGGCATAACACATTGCATACATGCAAAACTTCCACATGACAACGATTAATAGCCTCCCAGGAATTCTTTTCCCTTGACGCCCTTCTTTTCCCTTGTCGTGCTGGCGGTCGATGCAGCATATGTTTCAAAACAAATTGACTGCAAATTGAGCACGATTTTAAACCTTCAAGTTCCATGACCCGTTTTTATATCATGCACCTATTATTTCCACAAGTTTTCTCTGCCCAAAATGCGTAAAGAAGAAATGTTATCTTACCATGTTGTTGGAAAAACTGATTTTTTTCTCCGAGTGCACGCCTTTACTCCCGTTCACCCCCAGCTAAAAATGACCACTCGATCAGCTTGACGTCACATGACATCACGTGAATTATGTGAAGGAAGGGTACAGTTTTTTCTTAAATGACAGGCCTCGGATGCGAAACCGACCCTTTAGTGTGGGGTTCAGTTTTGTCTAGGGCAGTTGGTGCCATCTAGTGCAGTTTAGAACTATGATTCAGTTCTTCAAAATTCTAATATCAAGAGGGGAATATTGGTGTGATTTTTTCCAGAAACAGAAGGGGGTGGGGGTCAAAATTTGTAAAATACAGGTTTCCCCAATTCAGATGTTCCTACAACATTATTTTCTAAAATGTAATGTTTTAAGATGATTGTTCAGGTATCTAAATATATCTGTAAAAAAAAAAAGACGAAAAAAGACAACGTCATTTCATTTGGATTTGTCACATTTCTCAAAAGCATGTTTATTTACATTGGAGCTTTTTGGTGCTAACTAGTAAGACAAAGAATTCTCAGCGAAATCAATATAAAAACATTCTTTTGATGTGTACAATATAACTTAGGCATTTGGTCAAATTTTATTAAATATAACTGTACAGTTATTGATTTATTATCTTACCTCTTTACACGTCTTTGTTTCCCGACACTTTTTCTAATGGATATATATATATA